TAATACATAGAGAGTTACTGTACATTAGGTACAAAAAAAATCAATCTAGGTATCTATATCAGTGTACATGAGGTACAAAGGTCAAAGTTCATTATTATTGGATTGTTTATGGATCTACACTTCAAAGTAAAAATAAGAGTAGTTTGAACTCACTGTTCCCACTTCTTTTCTCTAATTTGTTTCTCATCCAATTTGGAGTAGGATTCTCCTGCCATCATTCTACTGAATATTCTCTAGAGTCTCTAATACCCAGTATAAGAAATCTGGTGGACTCTGCTCATGTCATTTTTTGACAATGTGGTTCAGACCTTCCATCTCACTAAGGTTTCTTCCTAGCTTGCTGAATATTCATTCTTCTATTTTATTGATTTCTGTTGTTGTGCCTATCCCTTCAATGAACCTGTTTCCATAGGACATTTATAAGACTTTTTTCATGTCATTCTGCAAAATCTTATGAAAGTCTTCTTTACTACCATGGTTCCAGATACACAAACAAAATTTTATTCTGAAGTTGCCTAGAGAAATAATAGAAGGTTCTATAACTATAACCAGAACTACAACAACCAGAATCAAAGTTACTTAGCCACTTGTATATCCTCTTTTGTCCTTTATCATGTTCATTCTTGGCACTAAGAAGAAAAAATAGTAGCCCTTAAGATAACTTTAGAAGTAGGAGTCTAGGAGAGAGGAAAGAATAAGTTGATTTCTTCAGTTTCATTTACACGATTTTGTTTCCATGGACAAGAGTGAACACACATTCAATGTTGTCAAGACTATAAAATCTTCACTCATCATTCTTGTCTCTAGAGAAGGTGAATCACTTTTATTAACTCTGTTCTCTGATTTACCCTCACCCCCTTCACTAGTCAAACAAAAAAAGAATTTCTCAGGGGAGGAAAGTCAATGATGTTTTAGTATATAGTCAGTCAATCTTTTTTTTTTTAAATCATTGTATCAGAAGTATGTCTTAATGAAGCTTAATATAACACGAAAGAGATTTACAGAGGAGTGAAAATCTATTCAAGACTCATCAGAACAAAAGGGTTAGAAGCAAAGAATATCAGCTCTACAGGTGCTGCTATGGTTAATGGCACGGAGGAAACACAGCCCGTGGAAAGCTCTCCTCAATTTGCTGACTGATTTGGTTGTCAGTGTCCGCCTATGTTCTCAATTGAAGTATACTCAAGAGAATACTCAGTGAGGACCTGGAAACCCAGAGCTTAATTCACTCTCATAGGTATTGAATTGAATTTCACAAAATTCACATGCTGAAATTTAAACCCCATAACCCCAAACTAACATGATGCAACTTAGAGACTGGAGCCTCTGAGAGAGGTTATCAAGAAGGTGAAACTTTTACAATAGAGTTGATGGCCTTATCAAAAAAAAAAAAAAAAGACACTAGAGAGCTGGCTAATGCCACCCCCACCTACCTTGAAAGAACACAGGACGAAAAGAGAGAGAGCCATTTCTAGAACCTGAGCATCCTTCCATCCTTACTTCAAACTCCCATCCTTCAAGACTGTGAGGAATAACTGCCTGTTGTTTCAGCATCCTACTCTGTGGTGCTTTGTTATGACAGCCTCGGCTGACTAAGATATCCTTCTACACTTTCTCCTACACAATTTGTAATGAGTGAAGATAACACATACTATAATATCTACTCTCATTTCTGCTTCCTCTTCTGCTCTTCAAGGAAAAGTCTCAAATTGCATTGAGGTCTTTGCTTTTCTTGTTTGTCCTTTCTAGGCTGTATTCAAGTGAATAATCAAGCCATTTCTAGTCTCATACCCTCCATTCCTGAAATTCTACAGAAAGACTGCAGGTAGTGTCATATTTTTTGATTTCCACCTGGAACTTCCATTTCTCCTACAAGCAAGTTATAAGGCTGCAATGGGAAGAAAGATGAGCATTCTAGGAGATAATAAAGCACAGTAGAGGGCCTTTAGGATCTGGAGGCAAGAATAGGAAGAGATACTTTAAAGGATTGAGAGGTAGTGTGACCAAAGAGGTGATACATCTTTCCAAAAGTGTGGAAATAGCAACAAAAAATAGGAATAGGAGCAGCTGATGTACTGTACACACCTGGCTCTTCTAGAGCCCCATTTTGTACTGACATAATCTTCCTTACACCTTGATTGACTTGGAAAGAATCCACTTAAAGGATTCTATGGTAATGAATATATCTACTTCACAGGACTGTTAAGGAAATTAAACAAAAGAACATATAGATATCCCTTAATGTGAAACTAGTCTTGCAGTAAGGATTCCATAAATGAGACCTGTTGTAGCTGTTATTGTTGGGAGTGGCTATTGATTAAAGTTAGGGTGTCCCTATGGTAATAACATGATCCTAGCAGTATTATATTTGCTCTTTTGGTGACATCAATTGTAGCACAGAAAGTGTACAAGTGTGCTGAAAATGTTGATTGTTTGTGCTACAAACCCTATGGGTTGTGAGAGTTAGTCTCTAGAGCAGTGGTTCTTAACCTGTGGGTCATGACCCCTGGAGGTTAAACGACCCACAGGGGTCGCCTAAGATCATTGGAAGACACAGGTATTTACATTATGATTCATAACAGTAGCAAAATTAGAGTCATAACAGTAGCAAAATTACAGTTATGAAGTAACAACAAAAATAATTTTATGGTTGGAGGGGTTACCACAGCATGAGAAACTGGATTAAAGGGTTGCAACATAAGGAAGATTGAGAAGCACTGCTCCAGAGTGAGTAAAAGAAAAGGTCTGTGGACTGGGAAAAAACTGAGCACAATAAAGATATCTATCTCTACAACAGGAAAATTAAGTTTTCATATTTATTAATGAGGCTCTTAGTACTTTACTTGATTTGGATCTTAGAGAACTGCAAACTCTAAGCAGAGTGTTGGCAAATTCTTCTTTGGGAATGTGATAAACTCTAGACAAAACAAAGCATGTTGATTTCAGCAGGATGTGGTGACACACACCTGTAATCCCAACACTTGGGAAGCTGAAATACAGAGGACCATGAGTGTAAGGCCAGCCTGGGGTATATAACACAATTCTGTCTTAGAACTGAAAAAAAAATCAAATAAGTCCCTTTAATGCAGGTGGGATTATCTGCCTTGTTTCTAAGACAGCAGAAGAGACAGAATTGTTAACTTAACATTACAGAAGGATCTGCCTTAGCAGAATAAAGCCAGGATCTTAGTTTATGGATTTGGGAAAATTAGAGGACTGCCAAGAAGCCTTACGAAACATTGACTGGCCCAGTCAACAGGCAACACAATGTCAAGACCTCAGTCATAGGAAAATAAATTCTGGAGCAACCTGAATGACCTTGGAAGCAAATTCTTTCCCCATTCTAAACTCCAAATACGATTGCATCCTAGCACATACACTGAATTTTATGGAGCTGAGCAGAAGATTCAACTACATACACATGAATTCCTGACAGCAATTATGAATCTGTTGATGTGTATTGTTCAAGTCACTATGTCTGTGGTAACTTGCTACACAGCAATAGAAAGAGAACACACTCCCAGCCTCAAGTATTAAGTAGTTTGTCTTTCTAACTAGGTTTTTAGGAACCTATTCATAAACATAAAATATAAATGGTTGTAATTTATATGAAAGCAGTCCCTAAACTAACAAACCAACCAAACACTTAAAATGAAAAACACGGGAAAAAAGAATCAGATCAACATTAATGACCCCACCATTATCCTCAAAGAGATGAGTGAATATATTGCATCTATCAAACAAAAACAACGTGTTATTAAAAACCTCAGAAAACAAAATTGTTCTTAAAATTCCTGTTCCTGAAATCCCTACTATAATTTGTTGTATAATAAAAATAATTACGGTTTTGTCTCAGGTTCCTGGAACATTTTCTAAACCTTTGACATTTTTTATGACAGACAATTCTTTGTTCTTCATGTTAAGCCTCTAGAATGACCTTTGAACTTTTATCAAAGCGGTGACTTATGGTGAGCCCCTGGATTATTATTTCAGGATGAAACCTGGCCTCAAAATACCAAACAGCATGATTAAAGGGTTAAGGCTTCAAATTAGATGATATCAGTCCAAACTAACCCTTCTCAAGGTAAAAAGGGGGGTTGGAATTGGACACTGGGTTCAATCATATATTTTTATCAACCAGGCCGATGTAAACAAACCCCAATAAAAACTTTAGTTTGGGCAAGCCAACTAGTTGATGAACATTATTGTTTCAAAGGATGATGCATCCAGATTTTATGGGGAAAAAACACAAAAATTCCACAATAGACACTGTTCCAGACCTCATCCTATATAGGTCTTTTCATTTTGTTAGTTGTGATTGAATTGGTTTTATAGAACTCTTTTTTAATAAAATTGCTACTATATACCTACTACTCACATGAGTTATTCTAGAGAATTTTCAAGCCTGAGGGCATTGTTGAAAATCCCAAATGTGTAGCCAGTTGGTCCAAAGGTTGAATATCCTGCAGATGCTTAGGACCTTGTGACTGGCATCTGAAGTGAGGAAAACCTTGCTGGGTACCACGCCCTTAAACAATGGAGTCTGCACTTTGGATACTGTCAGAATTATACATCAGCATTGCAGAAAATTTGGAAGATAAAGCTGAGAAATATTGCCCGGCGGTGGTGGCGCACACCTTTAATCCCAGCACTCTGGAGGCAGAGGCAGGGAGATCTCTGTGAGTTTGAGGCCAGCCTGGGCTACAGAGTGAGTTCCAGGAAAGGCTCCAAAGCTACGCAAGGAAACCCCGTCTCAAAAAACAAACAAAAAAGCTGAGAAATATTTTCAGAAGTAGAGCAAACAGGCAGACTAATAAATGGGGGGGAAAGGACAAAAGTAGGCATGGCCTGGTGGCACACACCAGTCATCCTAGTGCTTGGAAAGGCTTAAAGCAGGAGGATTGTAATTTTGAGACCAGTCTGGACTATAAAATGAGACTCTGCCTCAAAAAAATATAGCCAGCGCTTCCGGTCTCTTTGGCCTCCGCGGCAGATGCAAGATGAGGAAAGGAAGGTCATCCTTTGGAAAGCGTCGCAATAAGATGCACACGCTCTGCTGCCGCTGTGGCTCTAAGGCCTACCACCTTAAGAAGTCAACCTGTGGCAAGTGTGGCTACGTGGCCAAGCGCAAGAGAAAGTATAACTGGAGGGCCAAGGCTAAGAGACGAAACACTACCAGGACTGGGCGGATGAGGCACCTGAAAATTGTCTATCGAAGATTCAGACGTGGATTCCGTGAAGGGACAACACCTAAACCCAAGAGGACAGCTGTTGCAGCATCCAGTTCATCTTGAGGAATTACAGTCAGTCATAAAATAAATCTTCTGGTTTCAAAAGCAAATAAATACATACATACATCTTACATACATACATACATACATACATACATACATACATACAAACAAAAAATATATAGCCAGCAAGTTACGGTATCAGTGAGAGAAGTTCCACATAAGAATTACATGAAGTCTAGAAAACAATAGAAAAATCAGAAAAAAAAACCTTAAGTAATTCAATAAAATTGCCAGAATTGACAGCAAGTTTTAAAATGCAAAGTGTCCACAGAGTTTTCAACATACCAAGAGGCACTAATTATGCACAAAGTAATATTAATGGGATGTTGTACACTAACAGCAAAACAAAGAAAATAATAGGTTCTAGAGAAAAACATTCTAAGAGCAATCGTGGCGTCAGGCATCTTAAAACTTTTCTAACTTCTCTAACAATATTTAGAAGATAATGGTGAAATACCTCTGTAATTAGTAGGGATATCTGAGAAGAAAGAAAGAGTTTTATGGATTTAGAGAATAATTGGAATAGATTGAAACAGTCTCAAAGGATGTTTCCAAGAAGATAAAATTGATAGGAGAGTCTAAGTATGCTTCTTCACATATTTGGTAAATGTTTAGTCAATTGAGGAATGGGTTGGAGATGAGCTACTACTATGTGCATAAAAGTAAACAAACAAACAAGACTGTTATCATCTCCATTAAAAACAAGCATGTAAGAAAACAAAAGCAATCATAATATGCTATGTAATTCAGCTATAGAATGTGCATATTCACAATAATATACACTCTAAGTAGTGATCTAATAAAATTTGAGATAATTGTGCTTGGACAGTGGTACAGTGGGAGGTTTCTCCCTTTGTGGAGGATGAAGGTAATATTGAACTAATCTCTTTTCATAAAGAAGCAATACTCTGAAAACTTCTGAATTAACTTAAAAAGTATATTATTTAGCTTAGCAAATCTGTTCTAATTAGTTTCTTCTGGAGAATAGATATGAGGAGGCGGGTTCTTACAGCCGTGACAAGTAACTTGCTTGTATCACAAAGAATTGAAAGTTTTATTAAAATTAAATGAAGTTTTGGAAAATAAAAATGAATTTTCCGTGAAAATTCATACCATAACATCAAATTGCTTGCACTCCTCAGTGGCTCAGCATTGTACCTTTCAAGCTGATGTGGTCCTTTCCACTCTGAATCGTGTCTAGTGAGCTTGCTGCATCTCATACCTACTGTTGCCCTTCACTTTGAGACTTTCCCACAAACAAGTTTGTTCCCATCTGAGGACCTTTATTATTTGCTGTTCCCTCTGCCTGGAATTATTTTCTCTAGCTCATTTTGTCACTGACTCCTTCTTTATTCAGGGCTCATCAGAAAGTACTTCTTCAGAAAAACACTCCATCAACATATCACCACAAACAACCTCAATCAAATACAAATTGAAGTTCAATCACTAAATCATTCGGTCTGTGCTTTTTCAACAATACCAATGCAATGAAGATAAAACAAAAGTTAGAATCTGTTCTAGATTAAAGGAGACTAAAGAGACAAAAACTAAGTGCAATCTATAATTTCATCCCATTTTTATAAAGAACTTTTATAGAGATCACTGTTTTGGCAAGTGGAGAAAACAGAATGTGTATTATATGTTAAACATTGTTTTTGTGAATTTGATTATTACCTGTCTCGAAAAACAAAAAAAAAAAAGAATTTGATTATTACATACTACATGAAATAGGGTGCCTTTTTCCCTTATGAGATACAAACTGAAATACTTCTAGAAGCAAAATTAAGATGTCTGCAACTTGGGGCTGGACAGATGGCTCAGCGGTTAAGAGCACTTGTTGCTCTTCCAGAGGACCCGGGTTCAATTCCCATCACCCACATGGCAGCTCATAACTGTCTGTAATTCAAGTTCCAGTGGATCCAACTCCCTCACAAAGATATGCAGGTCAAACATCAATGCATATAAAAATAAAATAATAATAATTAATATTTAAAAAAGACGTCTGCAACTAAATTTGAAACAAAGGGGTTGGGAGAAGGAGGGAGGGAGGGAGAGGGGGACAGAGTGGAGGGGGAGAAGGAGAGAGAGTGAGAAAGAGAGAAAGGGAGTACATATTAAGCAAATATGCCAATATGTTAATGCTTGGTGAGTAATAGTAAAAGTACATGAGTGTTCATTTTATTGTTATTAAACTTATCCAAAGGATTGAAAGCTTATCAAGTGAGTAGAAAACAATTTTGAACTTTACCTAGCAGCTTTGTTATTGATATTAGTATTGGTAAAGTTATTTTTAAACTATTTTATGTGCTATAAGAGTAAGTAAATGAATAGATAAATTGACCAGAGACGCCTTTTTGTGAACATCCTCTCCTATTGTCCTGTTTGGGTTTCTTTTGTTGTTGTTGTCTGCATTTCATTTATCCTTTTTCTGAAACAATTTCTGTATATGTACTTCCTTGACTGTCTAATGTGTGTATCACCCCAGCCCTATACTTAGATGTTATTTGAGCAAGAATGGTGGTGTGCCTTGTTTATTGGTGAATCCCCAGCATTCAAACAAGTATCTACCGTGTCGCTGATATTTAGTATTAACGGTGAAATGGATAAATGAGGAGATCCCAAGGAACTCTGGAGTCAGGCAGTGTTTTCTTGTTCCCAAGGCTAAGTTAATGTCTTGAGACCTAGCTGCGAAAGGGACTTTGTTATTGTAGAGTTCTGGAAAGCTGAAAGGGGACACTTGGTCTAGTTGTAACATGTGTAATGTGGCTGAAGGGAACAGGTACTACCAAAATTTTCAGTAATCCCAGGAGTTACAACCAGAGGAAGTAGACTTGAAACCAAAAGGTGACTAGTGATACAGTCCTGAAACTCTCTCTCTCCCCGTGTGTGTGTGTGCCCATGATATCTATATATCTATACCTATATCTATATATAATTTATATTACTTTATGTTATGATATTCATGTGTGTATATATATGTAAATATTTATATGTATGCATGCATGCCCTGGCACATGCATAGAAGTCAGAGAACAACTTTCAACTGTCAGTTCTCTCTTTCCACCTTGTTGAGGTAGAATCCCTCTTGTTTCTACCTTGTTTCTTACTGAAGGCTAGGTGGTCCACAAACTTCTGAGCAATCTCCTGTATCTTCCACCCATCTCACTTTAGGAGTTCTGGAATTACAAATGTATACCACATCTGGCTTCTTCAAGTGGGTTCTGGGGATTAACTTCGGGTTATCAGGCTTGAGTGACAAGCGTGTTTACACATGGAGTCATCTTTCTGGCCTGGAACTGGCTGTTTTAATGCGTCAATTTCAACTAAAACAGTTGAATTAAGTGGCATTTTGTACTTGTAAATCACATCAACTATGTAAATATTTTCACCATGATTCCTTTTAACACATAGCCAAGAAAGTGTGCACTTTGAGTTGTCTCAACAAAGAAGAACTACAGGGACAATTGTGTTACGTACAGAAGGAGAAGAAAACTATATTCCTCACAATTCCGCCTATAAGCACCTCTTTGTTTGTCTCAAGTTTCTTCCCCTATCTGTTTCCCTCTCCTTGGTTTGATGTCAAAAATGGGTGCTTATGAAGAATGGTAGGGTAACAGTGGTCTCTTGGGCCACTGTCCACTCTCACCCCTGGGGAGTATATTCTCCTCTACTCTGCAATAAAGTGTCTTCTATACCATGCTCTGAGGGGTTCATCTAAATTCTTTGAACAGAGAAAATGAGGACTAGGGTCCATGGGGATCCAAGAGCAAGATCCTAGTGATAACTTTCGGTATTTCTACTACGTTATTAGCATATTTTCCTCATCATCATTGTGCCATCAAAGTGCCAGGAATTGTCAGCTGGATTCTTCACTTCTGATTTAAAACTTGTAAAGGAGACCCTCTTAAGGAATAATTTCCTTTAGATATTTGGGAAAGTCATTAAATGGTATTGGTATTAAATCCTTGTTCAACTGAACAGTGATTAAAAGTTTTACTGTTTATTTCTTTCTGGTTAAAAAGCTAGTCATTTTTAAAATGTAAAAGTATTTATTAATGATACACTTATAACATATTATGCATTTCCATTTTCTTTACTTCATCTCTTCATGAAACCTTTCACAGCTTTACCTTGCTACAACAGAAATGATGATTTGACTTCTTAGAATTACACAATGACAAGCATCCATGTTGTATAGAAGTAAATCAAGATGTACAAGTTTCACCTGCTCTATAACTGAGAAGAATGACAAAATAACTTAAAATTTTCCTCTTATCTCCTCAGCTAGAAAGTAGCATTAGTATCCAAGATTTATAATGGCTTTGTATGGTTAATTTATGGTTATTCATCATTTAAAGGAGGATTGAAAGTTCTGCTTTAATCAACATTTAGTTTTATTGAAAAATGGAAATTTCTATCTTATTAAAACACTGTATAATAATTTGCACAAGATTTTGTTGACAGTAAGTTTACAGAAATAGTTCACGTTTGTTCTTAAACAATTTAGAAAAATACAAGGTATATATATATATATATATGTGTGTGTGTGTGTGTGTGTGTATATATAGTTAGTTAGTTAGTTAGTTAGTTAGTTTTATGTACATGGCTGTAATAATTCCTGGATCTAAAATATTTTGAGGGAAATGCATTTTTAATGAAGAGCTTAAGACTTTTTTCCTTGACAAAATTTCCTAAACAATACTGTACAACTGCAATGATCAGCCAGGCAAGACATCTCAAAAGGCACCAATGGCTGTCAAATTTGCCTTAAGGCTCTCTCAAAAGGAGGGAAGTCATGTCTGGTCCTGCAAAGAAAGTGACTTTGAGGTAGAGGAAGGAGAACAACATCTGGGGGTGGGGTGGGCTATGATAACCAGATTAGAGATGATTAAAATATATTACATACATGTATGAAATGTCATGATGAAACCCATTAGTTTGTACAAGTAATATATGCTAATAAAAAATTAAATCTATATATTAAATCAAACTTACATTTAAATCTAAATTACTTATCATACCAAA